TCCCAGGGACAAATTAAGATCGCGTGGAGCATGTGTGACTGATGAGTTTTAAGTAGCAAGCTACCTATGTGGCCTTGGGCAGTCTGCATGGTCCCAGAGCACTACAGTGGACCCTGAATTTGTGTGCGGCTCCACTTATGTACTTTTCAACGTACGGACTTCTCCAGCCGCAAAATTTCCCATCGACTTGCAGCCAGAGAATCTACCTACGGAGCAAAAAGGGGAGGCGGGGAAAGCGCCAAATTCAAATTTGACGCTTTCCCTGCCTCCCCCTTCCAGTCCGTAGGTCACCGATCATGCCTCTGGATGCCTTCCAGGGCTTCTCCACCGCCATGGGAGGCATCTCGGAGATCCCCCCCCACTGCTGATCGTTCTTCGGAAGCACGTGACTCTTGGGCCAGTTAAGGATTACAGGGTTTTCAGTGCATTCCGATGGGAAATGGACCCTCGAACTATGGACTTTTCGACCTGTGGCCACCATTCCAATACGGATTAATTCCGTAAGTCGAGTGTCCACTGTACTAGAACGAGGAACTAGTAAACTACTTCTGGGAGGGTTATGAATTCAACTGGAAAGTATGTAATTACATTGACCAGAGCCCTCTTTGGACATTCACATAAATGCTTAAATAATTGTGATGGAGATGCACAGAAGCCCCTGCTCCACCATACTGGAAGTGAATTAGATCTTCATACAATGAGTGTGAAGGTCTGTTGAGCAGACTATAGGTGTGTTAGGCCTAATGTGGTTACAGAGCTCCTGTTACCCAGAGACAGTACTCCCATTGTCAGGAACTCACCGTGTGTACATTCTCTTATGTCGTGCCAGATGAAAGTCCAGTTCCCGGGGCTCTGACTGAACATCTGAATAGGACTGAAGTGATGATGAGGTGGAGGAAGACAAAATTGTGTAATACTAGAAATAGTCTCTCTTTAAATGGATAAAGTGAGGCTTGTTTCAGGAGCATGGAAATCTTACGGTTACACAAAAATATTTTGTTTTTTTATTTGTGGTAAGCAGTTTTCTGGTCACTGTCTCCACTGAATAAAATGATGTGATTTGAAACCTCTGTCTGTGTTGTTTCATCTCTGATATGAGATTTGTACTCAGTCTGAGAAAGTAAATAATGGTAGAGGTTGTGCAAAAAGACTTAACAGCATCTTTCTGTTATGATGATGTAGTACTGTGTTTCCCTGAAAATAAGACAGGGTCTTCTATTGATTTTTGCTCCAAAAATGCATTGGGGCTTATTTTCAGGGGAATTTTTTGTGTGCATTTACAATTATCTACATTTATTCAAATACAGGTATGTCATCTTCTGGTTGCTGCACAAAGGTGGAGGGTGGGGTTTCAGTTAACTGGGGCTTATTTTTGGGGTAGTGTTTATATTACAAGAATCCTGAAAAATCATACTAGGGCTTATTTTCAGATTAGGGTTTATTTTCGGGGAAACAGGGTACTAGCATTAGCTTTGTTTTCAGATTAGGGTTTATTTTCAGGGAAACAGGGTACTAGCATTAGCTTTATAGATGCATCTGTGTCCTAGAACCTTAGAACTTGCAGAGCTGGAAGGAAGCCTATGGATCATTGGGTCCAGTCCCTGTCAAGGAGGCACAGTAGGGAATTGAACTCCCAACCTCTGGGTCCAATAGCCATTGAGCTACCCAGCTATCAAGTTGTCAGAAATTGGGCAAGTTACTCCTCTGGTCCACATCTCCTGCAATGGCAGCCAGCATGGGACTGCTCCTGGATTGTGCTCACAGTGGTCACAAAAAGTAACTTTCCCAAGTTCAGTTGCTTATTTTGCTCTATTCCTCCTTGTCATCTCCCCATGCCTTCTCTGTCCAGGCTATTTGACTTGCAAATCCACTGAGGTTGGAAATGGAATTTGATATATGTCGAAACAACATCAGCTCAGACAGATACATTCTAAGCCAGTCATTTAGAACCAAACTGGCAACCCAAAGTGATTAACTGCATTCTGCTAAAATGAGTTACCTAAAATGTATTCAGATTACAAAAGATTTTGCAGTGTAATGTTGCACCTGCCTTTACAATTTTGTAAACAAAATGTAAATGAATGTATTTCACTGTAATGCAGTGCAAGGCATTGTGTGAGCCTTCATTGCCTGATGGTGTCAAGTTTATTACGAGATCAACTACCTCAGTCTGGAGGATGGAGTGGCTACTGACACTGGAGAAGCTGTCTATCCCTGGCTGCTAACTGCCTATATGTAGCTATAGAATAGTACTGATTTGCATATCTAAGGTGACCTAACAGAGTCCAGCTTTCTTGTCTGCCTGAGACAGTCAAATGGGGAAAGGGTGTTGTTGTTAGGTACTTACCCAGATCACAATATTTAGTTGTAAAAATCATGGAAGCCAGACCCTTCCTCCATGAGCCTCTTGAAGACTGCAGACTACGTTGCCTGATGGTCATCTAAGAAGCTTAACCTGGCCCCCAACAGTAGGCATGAGATGTTGGAACCTCAATAAAAATATATAATTTTGGAAAAATTGGTGCACAGCCTGAGGAAGACGAATTATCATTGAAAGCTTGTTGTTTGTTTGTTTTTTTACACCACCACCCCGGTGATCCAATAAAAAGGTATCAACTGTTCCTGCATTTGTAATATATAGTTTTATTTAGCTTTGGGGACAGGGGAGGGTCATAAATGAAGCAGGGCTGGTGTGCATAGAGATGTTGGATGCATAGGCTCCCTCTTCTATAGCTCTTTCTTGTCAGGGAGACAAAATACTCTGCTGAAAATCAGCCTACAAACAGTTCAACTGAATTTGATAGGAAATGATCCAAATTGCACAATCCTGTTTCAGAACTGCATAATCAAGCCTCTGTGACAGTGTTTTCTGAAGGTTTTGTTGCAGTGGCTTTTTTCAGCAGAGGAAGTTAACACCAAAACCATGATGTCAGCTTTGTTTTGATTTATAGAAAGACACATAAATTTATAGTGTTTTGTTTTCTTCAACCAATTTAAACCTGACAGGTAATCTTTATGTGTTTCGCTTTGTTATGTTGCGTGCTGTAATATCACTTCCAGCTTAATAGGGTTTTCAAGGTATCTGTGATATCTTAGGAGTAGTTTTACCACAGTTACACACAACCCAGTCAGTTTCCATGGCCAAGTGTGGATTTGAACTTACATCTCCAGATTCACTTACCATCACTCTCTCCTCTATACCACACTAACTCTCACACACTAGGGATAAATAATAATAATAATATAGTAATGAACTCAGCATTTGACAATTTGTTCTGTTAGTGACTCAGTTTTACCTGGCAGTACCAGAACTCAGACAAAGAAAATGTTGGGCATGATATTTTTCTATCTGACATCTCCTTATCTGAATTTAATTACTATAGCATTTAATTATTGTATTATTTCCTTATCTGAATTTAATTACACATCCAATTGATTTTAGTGGAAAGAAACTGCATCTAACACAGCCATGTTCCAATTTCTTCCACTAAAATCAATAGAATATAGGCTGGTCATGGCTAACTTTTAGCTCTGATTTCAGTGGAACTGAAAAGCAACTTGCTAAGGCTGGATCGAGCTCTATATTTATAATCCATTTTCCTTCCAGGAAGCTGAGTGAATTAAATAGGTCTTCAAGCACTTGACTGTGAAGCCAAGAATTGGGAGGTTGCGTTCCCATCGTGCCATAAAAGAATCAGCCTCTATGGCCTTAGGCAAACTACACAGTCCTCAGGGACTCCCAGAAGAAGGGAATGATAAACCATTTATGAGTAATCTACACCTAGAAAACCTTGGAAGGGGTCACCATGTCAAAATCAACCTGATGGCATGTTGTTGTTGTTGTTTGACCCAGGCACTGTTCAAGGCCAGATCTCCTCAATCTCAGCAGTATCAGATCGTTTTAGACTATTCCCTGGGCCAGTGATTTCAAACATTTAAAACAATTTCACTGATCCTGCAAAGGCCATCTGTGTGCCATGAGAAGCTTCTGTGCATTGTTCCTATCCACCTGAATTCAACCTTACCTGCCTCTGGATACAAGACAGTAAAGTGGGAGACCAGCGGCGTGCCCCATGTATGAATTTCCAGGGACACGGGACTAGCCGCTGTTATAGACTGAATGCAGAAATAAGTGGAAACAGTTATTGTACAGCTTAAATTGATTGTGAGATGCCGTGAGTCTCATATGGGGAGAGATGATAATGTTCTGATGTCAAGTCAATTCTGATTTATGGTGACCCTTTTTAGGGTGTTGTAGGTAGAGACTACTCAGAAGTGGTTTCCCAATTGGGGACGTCCTGGACTGTGAAGCTTGCTCGAAGCCACACAGGGTGGCTGTTCTAGGACGCACAGTGTGGAATTAACTCTCAACTTCTAATTCCACAGCCAGATACTTAACTCACTGAGCTATCCAGCCAGCTATGGGGAGAAAAGCAGTTTATAAATAAACCAGCAAACTGGAATGCAACGAACAGGTGCACATACAGTTCTCCTGTATCACATAATAATAATTGTGTGCTGTCAAGTCAATTCTGAGGAATGGTGACTGTTTTCAGTGCTTTTCAGGTAGAGTATTCATTTATGTCTTCTGGGGGCACCCTGGAACTGTGCAGCTTGCCCAAGGCCGGACAGGCTGGCTGTACTCACAGAAGGCACTGTGGGGAATCAAACTCCCAGCCATACATAAACCACTGAGCTATCCAGCAAGCTTTATTACTTACATACCAACCAGCAAAGCAAGTGGCAGGCTTGCTGTGAAGATGAAGGGAAATTGATCATTTTGGTGCAGATTTATGGATTGCTCACCTCTATAGTGAGAGATATTTGGCCATAGAAATGAGAATGCATCTGTGATGTACATCAGTCTTTGAAATGGTTTTACTTACCCTCATTGTTCCATCAAATACTAGAATATGTAAATGAGGGGTATGAATTATATCATGCAGTATAAGAATGCAGAATTGAGTGGTCTGAATCTAAGTGCATGTTTATATAAACAGGTGTGTGTGCAACATAGACTGTAGTGGATACAGTTTTAACCCTGTTTGTGCATCTGACGGACGTTCCTATAACAACCCATGCTTTGTTCGAGAAGCCTCTTGCCTGAGACAAGAACAGATTGATATCAGACATCTTGGACATTGCTCAGGTACTTCTGACTTTATTTTATGGGCAGATACTGACTGAGATAGAATAATTTTTGTATTTTAGGATTAGAAATAGGGCTCTGGGTGTCTTTCTGTAGAAGCACAGAAAAGGTGTAAAAGGTAAGTCTGTGTACAGAGCTAAACTGCCTAAAGATCTTCATGTTGGTTTAAGAATGTGCATGCACTTACATAACTTTAGCCCTCACAGTTGCAGGAAAGTGTTTGTTCGTGTGCTAAGTAAAATATAAGAAGCTGGAGAAGCTGTTAGATAAGATTTCCAAATGGAAATGTGTGCATGTCTCCATGTTCTGCATTGTTTTCCCCCCTCTTAACCCCATGATCAACGACAGCAAAATAAACTGTGCATAAAAGCAATGGATTCTTCAAAAGAAGAGAAAACATACATACATACATACATACATACATACATACATACATACATACATACATACATACATACATACATACATACATACATACATACATACATACATACATACATACATACATACATACATACATACTTATTGTTACAGCATCAAGCCATACATAAAACAAAATTGAATGTGGAGCTTCAGGTGCTGACATATACTGCAAAAAGCCAAGTCAAATAAACAAAAAGCAATAAAACTACAAATATAACAATATAAGACCAATGTCTAAGGGTTTGGCTATCTATTCTGGCTACTATGGCACCCTAAGGGAAAAGCACTACTCCTAGAAGAGAAATCATGTAAATCTTTTTAATAGGAATAATTTATATAGTTTGTATATTTAACTTCATTGTGGCACAGAATTGTGGATGTCAACAACCCTGCCCCATTTTATGGATAAGAAGCATATGGCTATGGGAACAGCTGAACCCAAATCTTTTCATACTTGGGCAGGCTAATCTATTCTGCATTGATCATTACTGGTTATAACATTTTATACGAAGACATCAGTGGTTACACACTCCTTGCTGAGTGGTTTTTATACTGGAGTACTCCTGCAGCCAAAGCTGTAAAGAGGAGCAAAGCTGCTTTCCTCCCCTCCTTTCTGCCATCATATTTTATTGGTGCTTCAGGGCTTAAGAGGAATATCCAAGGATAAAATACAGTTGGGCACACTTCAGTGCCCACACATAAAAGGCCCTGTGCTCCACAATGAAAACTGCATTTATTGTTAAAATGGCTTAGAAGGGTTAGAAAAGAATAAGGGAATGTTCTCATGGCTCGGGGTCCTTTGCATATTGATAGGTAACCAAAGGGTTCCCCTCTGTGAAAGGCAGACACACAGACAGGCTCACAGATACAAAACTTAGATGGTGCAGATAAATCAACATAATTTATTAAAAAGACAGTGCAGTTTTCCATGTGGTACCAGCTTATGGCCTGCTTATGAATAGTTCATGAGAATATATGAGTCAGTTTTCAGATTACATGTCAAAATTACACTTCCAAGGAAAAAATAATCAGCTCAAAACACACTATTTAGCCAGTATGCTAGACTGAGTTGGTGTATTCTTGAACAAAATTGTACACATCCCACCTTCACTGACTTATGTTTGAGTTGAAGTGCAGTTTGTTCCATTTGTTTGTTTAAAATGTTGACATGTGAACCTTCACTGGATGTGGTTCGAGGGAAGATCACACAGTTAAAAGCTAAAAAAGTTAAGAATTGTTTTGCATAACTAATTATAATAAAACTAATAATAATAATTCATAACTAATTATAATAAAATTAATTAATTAATTTTATTTTTAATTAATTAATTTTATTACTAATTAATTAATAATAACTAATCTTGATAGTAGCAGCAACCAGAGGGAGCATTTTCTGTAATTAAACCCAAGAGGAGTGGCACCCTGAACAATGATTTCACCACTTCTAGAGAGAACAGTAGAATTTTATGAGAGCGGCCAGGTTTCTGTGATAGCAGAAGAAACATTCTTGCTCCACAGAAATAAAGGACACTGAACAACCACAGTTCTTTAAATAAGCTCCATTTCCAGAGTAACACTTCACACATACAAGAACTTCAAATCATTCTTACTCTTTTCCTCCCTACCTCGTGGCTTCCTTCTTAGTCTACCTTCCCCTCACTTCTGGTATAGCTTCTTCACAAAAATGTGTCCTTATAAACCAGGATCACCCAGTAGAACTCGCCTAGCGCCCTGGGACACTTTGAGGAACGGTCCCTATCTTTGCAGTCCCCATATTCTTTCCAGAGAGCTTCATGCTGCCATCATAGGCTGCTGCCGGTGCCCTGTTGACTAATGGGAGCATTGCAGCTGGAGGGAGAAGATGTGCCTTCTTACCTGGCGGACCAGAGAGGAAAGGTCTCCAGGCTGGTTTACCAGGCAAATACATAAGAATGAGGCCAGACCTCTTTCTATCAGTCTGCTTCTATGGCCTGAGTGGGGGACTGAGAGAGGAGTGTCCTGCTTGGGAGGGCAGCCACTGTCCCCCCACAACCTGCCACAAATTGTTTACCCTAGTGGCTTGTACCCAGAGGTGGGTTCCAATCCATGGTTGCCCAGCAAAAGACTGGACTTGTGGGTGTTGGGTGACAGTACATCATCCGGTGCGTGGATCCTCTCTTCATGCTGCACCAAGGCTATTCCCCTGTAACCAAAACAATTGTGGCCTTTAAATCTCCATTCCTCTCCTTTCAACTTCAACAAACCATTTCTGTAGATATGGTATGTTTTATTCTGTGGGCGGGAACAGCAAATGGGAAATCTTGCCTGGGTTTGCAGTGCCGATCTTTGGAAATACCTAAGATGGATAATCCAGCTTTCTGTTGTTGCAGCATCTGCATCTGGACTCTAGAACATTTTTGCCCATTTATACCAACTCTACAAATATTTTCTGTCTCCACTGAGGTGACCTCAGAGTAGCAGAGGCTGGTTCTAAACGAGTTTACATGTCAGCAGTTGTGTGTTGTTGCCTCAGCATTGCTCTGTGTCAAAGCCTTTGCTTTTCTTCACACACAGCTGCAATAGCAGTAGTGCTCCCACAAAACATACATGGAGCTGTTCATTCTAGCATGAAACAGAGAAGTGGGGCTGCAGCCAATTGCTATGTCAAGGACTGTGTGAAAAGGGGTTAAATAACAATTCAGTGCCACACGCACAGTAAGAAAAGGAAAATCTTCATGCTACTACTTCTGAATAATTTATTTAGGGTAAAAAGCTCTGGAAAGGGTATAAAGCTCTGTGGGCTCTGAAGAATACACCTTGCCCAATTGGGAATCTTATCTAGCTATCTCTGGCATCTGAAACTACCAGATCTTTCTCATGCACTTTCAATATGATCATTACCTTCATAAGAACTAGACACATTGGTGCATTTTTATGCTGGTGTAAGATTGTGGAGTACACTCTGCTGTGACTGAGCATGATGTAGCCTTATTCTGGGATTTGTAGGAGCCTTATTGTGACACCATTGGGAAATAAGATGCTATAAGGATACAGGGGGAAGTGCACATATTCTCCTTGCATCATCCTTTATGCTATGCAAAGTTAGGTCACAGTGGAGCTGGCAGCGTTAGACTAAAATATCATGAGTAAATATGAAACGTGGTGTTCAGTGACTGTCTTTTGCCAAATGCACAGGGCTTGGTGTAGCCATGGAAAATAGGGAAATATCAAAATAGGGAAAATAAAAGCCAGTGAAATCTGTGCAGTGTATGTTTTCTGATAGCAGTACAGTAGGACCGTGGTATCCGTGAGAGATCTTTTCCAAGTCCCGTTCCCCCCACCAAAAATGCTGAAATACATGGAAATATCAAACACATTGTCTCTGGCTCCCTCTAGTAAATATTCCCTGAAAAAATATATAAATAGGTATTTCTGGAGTTTTGAATCTATTATTTTCAGGCAGTGGATAAGTGAATCAGTGGATACTGATCCCACAGATTTTGGGGGGGGGGGTTTCTACTGTATTCTGCAACAAGGAAATAAATGGCTTTGGTTCTCTTTCCCTCCCCACTTCTCTCCCCCCACCATATAGACTCTGATGATACTAGCTTATTGGGGAAGAAGGATGATGGAATGCAGTATCGGCCAGATGTAAAAGGTATGGTTCTAATGCTGGACTGCCCCCTCTCTTCACAGCTCTAGGAAAGATGCCCAAAGAGAGGCAGCTTTTTCTCCTGCAGGATGACAGTTTTAGCAGGTCCTGATCAAGGGCAAGTACTTTACTGTTCATTTCCTTTCTCCCAGAAAATGGTTTGGAATTTTTAAATAACTGACTTAAACATGTTAAAATACCTTGCTATTTCCAGTATGTTTCAAAGTGAGGCATTTTGCTTGAACAAATACCATTTTACAAGCAACCACACTGGTCCTGTTAGTTCGGCAGCGTGTGCAACTAGATGTTTGTATAATAAAGTCATTTATTTGTGGAAATTTAGCATATAAATAGTTTCAAATGAACTGATGTTGCATTTCTTTTGAGCTCCCCCCCCCCATGCTTCAAGACCAAGGATAGTGTTGGGCTGTCATTCTTTTGTTCCAAACCCTTATGCGTTTCTTGTATCAATGCTAAACACACTCCTGTTATTAAAGAAGGGAAATGAAGCTTTCAAGTATTTTTCTGAAGAATGACTTTCCTACCCAATGTATTTCCTGTGTTCTGCACTTTAGATTTAAAGGTGACTTTTAAAGCAGGAAGACACTAGGAAAAGAAGGCATTTCTACAGAAAAGCAATTTTCTTCTGTCATTTACTTTCTCTTCCTTTTATTGTTTATTAAAGAAATTTCTGCTAGAATGGAAAAAAATAATGCAAGGATTTCAGGTTTTGGTCCACCTTGGGACAGAGAATTGAGGGCCATTTTTGTATGAAAAGCAGATACGTAATTAGGATCACATTCTTTCTGATTAATTGTATCTGAATTAACCAGTTCCTCCTTGGAATGTATGGAAAGAGTTAAACTATATCCAGTCTTTTTGATGCTCTGATTTATTCCCAGTTTTAACTACCAGATAAGCAGCTAAAATTTAGAGGGTCAGATCATATGCATCATCTAATTTTAAATATGCACCCTTGGAAACTGTAATGGTTGCCCAATGGTTATTGGTTAGTGATAATGAAATGGCGGTGCTGTCATTGCAGCCAATACTTCACAGAATTCCATAGGCTGAGGTGGGCAAAATGCAGCCCTCCAGATATTGCTGCTCCCGACAGTCCTAGCCAGCATAGCCAATGGAGAGGGGTCATAGGAGTGCCAGTCCAGTAAGCTAAGGAGGGTGATATGTTCCCTGCCATAGACAGAATGAATAGGACACAATTTCAGAAACTCTCCACCATTCTCCCTCCCTCCCTCCCTCTCCCTCTCTCTCTCTCTCTCTGTGCATGTGCGCACGTGTGTGTGTGTGCGTGTGCGTGTGTGCGTGTGCGTGTGCGTGTGCAAATAATATTTATGGTGGATATATGTATAACATACATTTATGTTGAATATATATATATATATAAAACATACATTATATGTTGTAATGGATATATGACATTAATGTCAGGGATGGGAATTTGTGACTCACAACTCCTGTCAAGTCTGACTTAAGTTGCACTAGCAACTCAACTGAGGTTATTTTTTTTAAAGACTCAGACTCAAGTCATGACTCAGACCCATTTTTCTGAGTCACATTTTTGAGATCCTATTATTTTAATGGAGATCTGCAGGGACTTGAAAATGCAACTTAGAAAAAGGGGTACAAGTTGCAAGTTGAGTCCAAGTCTTTAAAAACAGGAGGGGGTAGCAACAGGAAGGGAATCTTCAGTGGTGAGCCCTTTCCAAGATGGCTACCTTGGCCATCAAGCTTCTCTCTTCTTCTCACAAGATCAAGCGTGCTTTCAGTGGGTCTGTTGGGGTGCTGCGCCAGAGCTTTCTGCCTGAAGGGCCCACCTTTTTCTGACTCTTCATTGGGCCCCTTGAGGTAAGGTAGGTCCTTTGCTCTCCCCTGGAGAGATAAAAGAGGGGAAAGAGAGAAAGAGAAACAGCCGTTGAGATAACTTGAACCCAAGCCATTTAGTGCTTTGTAGGTTAGAATCTATTAAGCTTGGAAGGAAAAATGCTAGCATGTCCACATGCACATAGCTTGGATATCTCAAACGTCCATGATTTTCTCAGTGTTATATATGTTTGCACAAATTCTCCCTTCCATTAACAGGAATGTGTAGAGTTTATTTACTTATTTATGAATGGGCTAATCCTGGTTTTCTCCAAATCATGGTCTGTGGTCATGATTAGGAATGCATTTGCCAGTTATGTTTTCGGTTGACTACAAATAGGCAAAACGCTACTACAAATCTAACACTAATTATTGCTTAAGATGCAAAAATGAAATGGGAATAGAATTTACATGAAAGTAGGGATTAAAAAAGGGGACGAAATGTCTCTTGATCAGTGAAGTATAGTTCCATCTGTTAGCCCCACCTCCAGTAGAAATGGTAGTGGCAATGACACTAGTTTTTTTGGCAGAACGCAAAAGGTGTTAAAATGCATTTATACATTTCTTCTTAACATTCTTCCCTAACATGACCAACCTTTGTTCTCCCAAATTAATCAGTTAAATTTAGTCTGCACATTATTTGAAAATTGGACAGTTGTTGCAATCAGAAGAGACAAGAACGATCCAAAAATTGGGGCACTATATGCATTTCTATTGAAATTTATTTATTTATTTATTTATTTAAGACATATTTGACCTTAAGCATCAATCCCTTCAGAGTTTTCTTGTAGAGAAATTAATAATTCCTATCGGACAGCAGTCCTGGACATGGTGACAGTGAAGACACAGAGGAACTCCTGCAGTCATCCTTGTTGTCTTGGGTGAAGTGTATGATGACAGAAGACAGGATTTATTTGGTGTTTGTGAAGCACATTTTTTAAGGCAGACTGTCACACTACCTGCCTGCTTTTCAGCAACAGGCAAAAGTTACTGTTTCCCAGACCTTTACGTCTGTGCTGAATTGTTTTAATGCTGACCTTTATTTGTTTTGATCCTTCTAATTTTGTAATGTTTTACTGTTGTAAAGATTTTATTTGTTACCCTGCAAGCTGCCCGGGGAAATATTTATGTTGAACTGTGCCATATAAATCTGAGGTAGAGAGAAGCAGATGCAATTTTCCAGTTTCGTAGCTATGGATAACCAAGCAGTCTAAGGGCAATTGTATCAACATTTTCCTCACTGTGGAAGGCTCTCCATCACATCACCAGCCCTGGAAGACCAGGAACACAACAGGGAACCTTCAAGAGCAAGGAAATGTTTGAATGATTGCCTGTGGTTTAGCTGAATATTATACTGGTCATATTTTTTTCTCGTTTTAGCACTGTTTTGACAGGTATTTCTCCTTTCTTCCTGAATAGCAGAACCAGTATTTAAGCCTATAATTGGATTGCTGATTTCTGTATGTTAATTTTATCTCCTAGGATTTTGCTGTAGCATTTTGTTACAATAAACAAATGGCCCAAATCTTCTTACCTCAAGACAGGATATTGCCATGAGCATTACCAGTTGCATACTGAATGAGGTGACTCAGTGTGCAATTGATAATGCATATGAAAATTTCTTAACTTGAGACAGTTTGCCTCCAGAAGTTATATCGTTTGCTACACAAGAGGATTTAGGCCATCTTATCTTAACCAGCACTTGGTTAGTCATTGAATTAGCAACATTATTATTTTTTTCTATTTGAATCACAGAAGTAAAAACATAATCTTAAAACAAGAGTATAACTGAGCCAACTGATCCATCCAACAGCATTGAGAATGTGCCATTTCCCCCTTTTTAAATTAAAGCTTTAAAACAGAGGCATATTTATCAAGGCACGTGCAATGCAAATTTATTAAGTTGTTTCCCAAATGCTCACCTATGAATTCATATAATTTCCATCAAAACAGTCAAATGCCTTTTCTTCATTGAAAAATAAGAAAAATGTTTTATTTGGGGGTTATAAATGGCTAGCTTTACATTATTCATTTTGTACCTGTCATAAACCCTGTTTGATTCATGCTAATACTGTTCGGTATAGTCTTTCATTAGCTCTGGTTAAAAGAATAACATAGATAATATGTCATCAATATTTAATAATGATATCAGTTTGCTTCCAGCATTGGACAGTTTTTTTGCTATACATTGACTTTTTGCGATCGCTATAGCGATTCGTGAAACAGTGATTCCTATGGGGGAATTTTGCTGGACAATGTTTGGTCCCTGCTTCGCAAACCGATTTTCGCTAGACGATGATTTTGTCAGCTCCCTCTGTGCTTGCAAAACAGGTGTTTTCGGGACCTAAGCTTCGCAAGACAGCTATTTAAACAGCTGATTGGTGGTTCACAAAGAGTCTTTCCTATGGCCGATTTTCGCTAGACAATGACGATTCTTCACCATTGGAACGCATTAAACAGGTTTCAATGCATTCCAGTGGGGAAATGCTTTTCGCTAGACAATGATTTCACTAAACAGCGATTTCAGTGGAACAGATTATCATCGTCTAGCGAGTCACCACTGTATTTAACAATGATATCAGTTTGCTTCCAGCATTTTATTTATCATTAATAGATTTTGGAACTTGATGTTGTTATCACCAGATTCAGAAAATGGAATTATACCTCATTGTAAATGTTCATTCATTTATAATAAAATCATAGCAGTACATCTTCAGGATTCTTTATTAAATTTATGTGCCTTAATTGCATTTAATATGTCTTGCTTTATTCTTGGACTATCCAGGATTTGTCTTTCTATATTTTGGGAATACATAAATCAAATAAGAAGGCTCTAAGATTAATATTAATGTGATTTTTTTCCCCCAGAATGATATGTGTAGCTTAACTGGAAACTTTGTAAATGTTGTAAGAATTTTCAGAGTAATGTTAGCATATGGTCCATGAATTCAGTAAAGTAGAATGTGGCTGTTTCTGTGGTGTAGGTAACCACTAAATACTTACAGATTAAACATGTTAACAAGAGAACCTTTTCATTAGAATTGGCATCGGTGTGAGTGAAAAAATAAGTGAATTCTCGTTTTGTTTTTATTTTTGCATTTAAGATGCAAGTGATCAAAGAGAGGACATCTATATTGGAAACCACATTCCTTGCTCAGAAAGTTTCAGTGGCTATTGCATCCATGGGAAATGTGAATTCATTTATTCTACACAGAAGGCTTCCTGCCGGTAAGTCAGTAGGCCAGCAGTTCACAACCTTTGGCTCAAAAAGCTCCATGTGCCAAGTGAGTGCCATTTTTACATGCATGTAAAAATGGAATTACATGTTTGTGTCTCAGGGATGGGAGGTAGGCTTGACTTGGACGCGAAATTAAAACCTAGTCTCAGCAATCCCAATTCGGATTCTTGTCCCCATTCTATCTAAATGGCATGAGTGCAGAAGCCGTGGTCTGTGCCGTTCTTAGGTTGCTGTCTAGGGTACCAAAACTTCAGGCTCTGGCTGTAACCTTAGTCCTTCCTGTTCAGAGTTTGTTTGCTCTGTTCTCTTCACCATGCAAGTTAAATGTAACTAATTTTTCCCCGTCCAATGTTATTTTCTCTACTCCTGCTCACACAGTGGCTCCCTATGCATGTGTGGCCATGGAGATAGGGACAATAAAGGCAGATGGTTTAGGCCCTGTCCTGCTTGGAGGGAACTGGATAAGTAGTGCCTGAATGGGGCTTCTGAAACTCGTGTTTCGGTGTTCATTCCCCAGGACTTAGTCTTTCACTCTGAAATCTCAGAGAATGAGATGCTGCTGATCTGGCAGCTCTGATCTTGTTGTCATGCTTCTGGTGACCTACTGCAGATCACTGAGAAACCTTTCAGTAGATCTAAACTTACTTTTGCATGTTTCTTTTCCTAATGCACTGCTTCTCACTTTGTGCTGTAGCCTTCAGCCTCCTAATATTACCCAGCTGGGACACAGACCCTTGGTAGCTCTATTTCCCTGGCATTCAAAATCATCATTATGTCTCCTTGTTGCCTATCTATCACACTCACACCATTTTGCACTTTTGCATTAGGAGTGCTGCTTCAATACTACCATCAGCCACACAGAAAGTAGTGATCCTGGCTTCTTTGGGCTCTTTGAGGTCAGGATGGGCTAGCTGGATTGCTCTCGGGTACTCCCAGTAGCAGTGCTAGAATGGTGGTTCTTTTCCACAGCTGTCAGCTGGGCAGTGGAGAGAAGTGGGCGGGTCTCCCCTGATAGGGCAATATCTTTCTGTTTCTTGAACCTATTCTGGAGTAAGTTTCATTGTATTTTTGTATCCTGGCATAAGGCTGAAACTATGTCTTGAAATGTCATAGGATTGCAATGGCACTGTATGTGGCTCAGCTTGTATTCAAAATACTTCAAATCATTCAGGTCATACAGAATTCTTAAGGCTTAATTATGACAATGATGCTAATAGTTAAAAGTGCATGTTAATTTCACAGTAATTTTCTCTCTCCAGAGAAATCTGGAAATTGTAGTTCTGTGAAAAAGCCTAATGATCTCTCTCCAGGGATTTATCTCAGAAAACACACTTGCACACAGCAATTCCTCAAACTCTTTGGTAAAGCATGGAGGAAGAAGTCAGAACAATCGGAGTGGTATAAAACTGATGTAAATGATGTTGCTATGTCCTGAAAAAGGTTGCCTTGAGTGATGTTGTTAGCACATTGTGAGTACTAGCAACAACAACATGACCTTCTATCGTGGCTATGCATTATCAGATACAAATGATCACTAAATGTTTTCATGAATATAAGACTCATTTCCTGGCATCTTTAATTCTTGTCTTATAGTTGCAGTACAAATTTATCTTACAGTGTCCTGAAAGGGAGTGGGGAAACGACTCTCCACTAAGGATGAGGTTCGCAGCTTGGGTGTACTTCTGGACCCAGCGCTGTCAGTGGAGTCCCAGATAGTGTCTGTGGTCCACTCCACCTATCTCCACCTGAGGCAGATTGCCCAGTTGCGCCCCTTCCTTGATTCCGGGTCCCCCACCATGCTAGTCCATGCATTGCTACAGTAGTCTTGAGATTAGACTACTGCAATGCTGTCTCTGCGGGGCTGCCTATGAGGCTGCTTTGGAAACTCTGATAGGTCTAGAATATGGCAGCCAGACTATTGAGTGGTGTGAAGAAATATTATCATATCTCCCCTACTCTGGCCACCCTGCACTGGTTACCTGTTTGTGTCCATGCCAGCACTGGCAAAGCCCTAAATGGTTTGGGACCTTGATACCTGACAGAACTCTTCCTTCTAATGAGATCTGCCTATCCTACACAATCTTCCTAGGCCAGGTGGTTGAGATTATTGACTCCAAGAGAGGCCCGGAAAGAGAAGACTAAAAACCGAGCCTTCTTGGCAGTTGCTCTCCTTCTCTGGAACAATTTTGCCTGGTCTGTGGTCCACTCCACCTATCTCCACCTGAGGCAGATTGCCCAGTTGTGCCCCTTTCTTGATTCTGGGTCCCCCACCATGCTGGTCCATGCATTGCTACAGTAGTCTTGAGATTAGACTAGTGCAATGCTGTCTCTGCGGGGCTGCCTATGAGGCTGCTATGGAAACTCTGATAGGTCTAGAATATGGCAGCCATACTATTGAGTGGTGTGAAGAAATATTATCATATCTCCCCTACTCTGGCCGCCCTGCACTGGTTACCTGTTTGTGTTCAAGGTGATACTGGCAAAGCCCTAAATGGTTTGGGACCTTGATACCTGACAGAACTCTTCCTTCTAATGAGATCTGCCTATCCTACACAATCTTCCTAGGCCAGGTGGTTGAGATTATTGACTCCAAGAGAGGCCCGGAAAGAGAAGACTAAAAACCGAGCCTTCTTGGCAGTTGCTCTCCTTCTCTGGAGCAATTTTGCCTGGCCCCTTCACTGGGAATTTTTAAACAATAATTGAAAACATGGCTTTTCAGGCAGGTCTTCCTGGACCTCATAACATTGTTACACAGTGGTTATTTCACTGTTTATATTATCAGTTCCGCCACTTTGCCTTTAAACTACCTTAAATTATTTTTAGTTAATTTCATGTTGTTCTGTGTATGTGTTTAATTTTGAATTCTTAAATAGCTATTATGTTTGCTATTTTTAAATTGCTGTTTATTATGTTATAATGTTGAAAACTGCCCAGAGTGGCCTTGGCAGCCAGATTGGGGGTATAAAAATCAAATAAATAAATAATAAGTCTCCTGCCTCAGTGAATGTTTTGCTCTTCTCTCCTAGGTGTGAATCTGGATACACAGGACAGCACTGTGAAAAGACGGACTTTAGCATACTTTATGTTGTCCCTAGTAGGCAAAAGCTCACACATGTCCTCATTGCGGCAATAATAGGAGCTGTCCAGATTGCCATCATTGTTGCAATTGTTATGTGCATAACCCGGTAAGTTGTGAGGGTGGGGGGGAGGAAATATCAGTGAGATGCTTTTTAAATTCATTAGTCCCACTATGAGAGCCTTGTCATCTTAAAGCTTCATTTTAAATGGAGCTTTTGGGCTTGAGTGGTTTCCTTCCTGGTTTGGGTTGTGCTTGATTTAGGAAGATCATGCAGCTGCTAGAAAAAACATCAAGCTGAGAGCTTCTATGTTGTGGTGCCCATGAATGTGAATCTGAATGTTCCAGATTCAACCCTCACCTCAGTCACAGACTTATTAGATGGTAGACTTAAGCAAAACACTTTTCTGTACATGAACCTGCAGCCACATACTGAACATTATTGTTAAGGTCAATGTCCAGATAAGGTGCCGTTGAAATATAAGCCATAGAGGGCTATGATTACATAACTGCCTTCTCTGTATAGACCAGGAATTGGCTACTTCCTTGAGTTGGTGGGCCACACTCATGGTCCTTGAACCCACTGGATGCTACACCTCCCACTGTGGAACGTTGGCAGTGAGGCTAGAGGAGAAAAGCAAAAGGATTAGTGCTCTTGGAAAGCTTCCAGAAACATTAATTGTCTTGTAAGCAAAATACACATTCCATGCACATCTTGTTTTAAAGATAAATACTGGTGCTTTTTCCCTCCAGAAGCAGTGAATGCTTTGGGAGCTGCTAAAACAGATGTGGAGGCTCATGGAACCTGCAGGCTGTATGTTCTCTGTCCCTGATGTAAATGTTTTCATCACCAATGGTGTGTCGACTGTGAATCTGGAGGCTGCAAATCATAAAACTGACATTTCTTTTTTGACCCTCTGTTATATTTATATGTACTGGTTATCAAAATGTCTGCAGAAGTTGAATGACAGAATGGAATTCTAGCTGCATTCTTCTCTCTCCAGAGTTGGAAGAGTATAGCAAGGGAGCCAGAAGGCAAATTTATACTCTGGAACATGATACACATATATAGCCCATCTTGTTCCTGTAATACGTGCCATGACCTAAAATACTCCTACAGAACTCTTGTCTGTCCATCCACACCCATGTCAGAAATAGCATTCTCTGTGACCTAGTTAACATCCATTGGACTACCTCCAGTTCTCATGGTGGAGAAACATCTTCAGCTTCTCCTCTCCATTTTGAGTATAACTTTCATCTTTGGCTAGAGTTCCACATAGAGATCAGAATGTGTTAATGTATGCCTAGGTTTTGTATTGGAAAGAATTATGCACAACAGGCCAAGGGGACGAGTCTTGACATTAAGGTGTCGCAAGTCATAATCTTAGATATAATGTGTTAATGTTTGGAGTAATGCATAATGACAGTCTTTTAGCAAAATAATACAACAGCTGGTAAGATCATTATGCCATCCCTTCTACCCTCCTATTTAGGGTAAAGTTACTTTGAACTTTTTCCCATTACGTTTTGGACACGAAAGAGGAGGAGCTTTTAAACTGTACAGTGGTGCCTTGACTTACGAATGCCTTGACCTACGAACATTTTGACTTACGAACAGTTCCGTTCGCAAAATTTAGCTTTGACTGGCCGTAAGGAGTCAAAGCTAAATTTCCATCGCCGCTGCCATGAAGCCTCCGGGAGGCCTCCTGGACCTCCTCCACCGCCTCATCGGGGACGGACCCAGCGCCTGAAGTGAGAGCCCGGCTGGGAGGCCATTTGAATTTCCCACCCTTTTCCCCTGCCTTTTTTGTTGTTCATAAGTAGGCCTCCCAGCAGTGGCGATGGAAGTCAGGGAAGCCTCCCGGAGACCTCCTGGCAGCGGCAGTGGAAGCCCGGGAGGCTGAGGAGGCTTCAGACTGGTAAGGTGCTGCTTTTTCCTTTTTAAAAAAACTTTTCTGGGTGGGTGTTGGAGGGTGGGTTTGGACTGGGGGGTTATGTTTCTTTGCTGTTTTGTTTTTGGATTTGTGGGGGGGGGGGTGGGTTCAGCATGGGATTTGCTCTGTTCATTTTATTTATTTGTTTGTTTGTTTGTTTGTTTGCTTGTTTGTTTTTTGAAATGCTGGAACGGATTAATCCTGTTCCCATGCATTTCAATGGGAAATGCTGATTTGACTTATGAACGTTTTGACTTACGAACATCATTCTGTTTTAATCCTGTTCCCATGCATTTCAATGGGAGATGCTGATTTGACTAATGAACGTTTTGACTTACAAACATCATTCTGTTACGTATTCAGTTCGTAAGTCAAGGCACCACTGCATTTCAAAAGTACTTTTTTAAAAAAAAAATTAGGCCAATTTCTTATTTTTTGTGCTGGATTCTTCCCCAAAATATATGCAGCAAACATGACATTGAGCAAACAGGGTGGATTGAGTAATGAATAGCAATAACAATAGTATTTAAATATTGACTTTGCAAGATTTATTCTATAATGGCATTTTCTTTGCTTTAGACGATTTCTGTTGCCCTTCCAAATGAAAAACAACCAAATTCACAAGTCGATTAACATAATAGCTGCTCTCAGCTATCCCCATAGGACACAATCCACAACAGAAGGTCTTGCTAAAATAATAGAAAGCACAATTGGAAGGCCAGAACAAGTTTAGCACTGGGCACATGTTTAGTGTTGTTAACTCTGCAGTATGGTGTGGAAGATTTTTCAGATTTGGCTGCATGAAGTGCCATGGCCTGCAATTGCAATTAATAGCTGAAGGCAGAGTTGCTCTATTTATTAAAATCAAGATTACACCAGACAGTGTGAGAGATGCATTACAGCTTGGGAGACCCTTGTGTCATTTAAGAATTTATTGGAACTGGTAGTCCTTAATACAGTGAGGTGAAGGGACTGCATCCTGGGCACACTGCCAAAGTGGGCTAGAATAAAGAAATGAGATGCAGAGGGGTTGAAAAACCTTCTGAAGCACATGCCAGCTGTTCAGCAAAACAAGATATAATCATGCTTGGTATTGCATTCCGGTGAAAGCCTGATGCTTCAGTCTAAATGAGGCAGCCTACAAATTCTAGACCAAGTAAGCAATGTCAAAGGGGAGAAGAGCGAGGGGGCTAAAGAACACATGAAAAATGATCCTAAAAGTAAGTAAATGAATGATGTTAATGATAAAGAAGTTGATGATAAAACAGCACTGCTGATCCCCCTCTCCTAGTTCTTGTGTAAGTACATCAAATTCAGGTACATTGTTTCAGACTGTGATCCTGTGCTTGATCTTCAAAAGCAAACCTTGCTGAGCTGATGATGGGCCCCCAAGTAAGCATACATAGGGTTGTAACCTTGAACGGGATGTTTTGGCTCTTGATTTCTCAGCCTGGCACTTGGGATTATTCCCTCTGTGATACATCTGGCACAAGATGTCAGCCAAACAAACTTATGAAAGGAGAAGGGAGAGGACATTTGGCTCAGGCAGTCAGCTAATAATTAGAGATAAAATATGCAGATGGTTCTCATTATGAATCGATAGTTTCAGTTCTCCCAGCTGTTAATTCTGGGAAATATTGGGGTGCAATGATAGTGACCTTGTGCCATCTAGAAGGCGGAAAATGGCATGTCTTCACTAGCACAACATTAGACTTCTAATTAGCTGGGGGTGGGTTTTAATTTAAACGCACCAAGCTCATCACTCGGGCCAGTATCCTGTTTGGGAGAACTAGGTGATATACTAAAGTTGATGAATCAGACATGGTTATTTAGTTTGTTTCAATCAATTTGGTTCTGATATTTTGGACTGTTGCCACCTATATAATCCATATTTAGTTGGACAGTCATTCTTCTGATAAAGTAGAAGCAGTTTCTTAGCTGGTTTGTGCAGATGCTCTAGTGAAGCATTCAGCATCCTCCAACCCAAATTAATTTCCAGAGCAAAGTTAATTTTCCAAGTCATATGTACATGATAGATTTATGTAGTCTGTATCCAGCTGTACTTCAGATATGGTCAGGACCAGCCTAAAGGGTGGCTGGACTGGAACATGGAAAAATCAGTGTTCTGCACTGTCAGTTCCCATAATTCCCTAGACAGCAACTTGACACTTGTCTTAAGTGTGGAGCTGTATGTTTGTTGCTTTTTATTGAGCATACTGTTTTTGCTGAGTTGGGAAAAGGAACAATAAGTGGTTTTGTTTCCTGATATTGTACAGTTTGTTTGCATGCTAACTATAAACAGTGAACCTCCGTAAATTAGCTTTGAAGTAGTGCAGCCATTTGTTCTAGGTGAACATCTGGAGATCACAACTTTCTTTTGATAAGGCATTAGCAGGATGATAGGCCCTATAAATTCATAGAATCGTAGAAAAACGGAGTTGGAAGGGGCCTGTCAGGCTATTGAGTCCAACTGCTTGCTCAATACAGAAATTGAAATCAAAGTATATTTGACAGATGGCTGTCTAATTTTCTCTAGTTCCCAGGTTACTCCTTTTTGCCCTCCTCTGATCATTGGGCACTCCACCCCTCCTCTGTGATTTCCAGAAAATAATAGACAATAGTTCTGAGAGTTCTTCAGGCAGTTCCTTCTCTTGGATGCAGTTCATCCAGCTTTGGAGATTTGAACTAATTCACAGTAATAAAGTATTCCTTAACTATCTATCAGTCTCCAGCTGCACTATAAACTGATCTTCCACAAATGGAGACCTCCAGATATGCTGAGCATGGTGGCCGGTGGTGTTTGGAGTTGTACTCAAACACAGATGGAGAGTAGCAGCACGGATGAAGGCTGCTATAGACACTGTAATTATACATCATCATCTGTTTGTTGGGTTGCAAAAGGTAGGGCAATAGGCAATAAAAATAACCTTTGTCCAATAGGGTTAATAAAAATGATTCTTAATTTTTTTTTAAAGGATGTTATTTAAGTAGGATTCTGTTTTGCCAAATTTTTTAAATAAAATGCTACATTTCTCCTGACAGTCATTTAAGAATGTAAAACTAAATCTCAGCTAAACCTACACTTAAAAGTCTCGTCAAAAAAAAAATTTAAAAATTTATACGCAGAGCTACAGCAATGATACTGTATATATATTTTAAAAGTGACTTAAGTCTATCAATCAGTGGACAGTGATAATCAATTCTTGATTCAGGCTCTGGTCTTTCAGCTTCCATTTCTCAGCAGATCATGGTTCCATGGTACTCAGAGACTGAGTAGTCGGTGCTTCTGTGGGGTGGACATACATGAAGCAAGGCAAAATATGTAGTTAAAGTAGAGGGACACTGGAGGAAAAGAGTACAGAAAGACCCCACACATTTGATAACAGTTTGCCATGGGTTCTTCTGAGTGGGAAAGAGACCCTTTCTGGAAATGCTTCAAAGGACATTTTTCACTGGGTGGAAAAGGGACAGTGCATCACATGCAAGCACTACAAGAAGATGGAGGGCCCAGTTGTGAGAATACAACACTGGGCTGGACTCAATGAGCCATAGGGTCCTTTCCAGTTCTGCAGTTCTAAGACATAATTAAAACTGCTTGTGGGGAGAAAATGAATATGAAGAGGTCTCTTAGATATTGTAAACTGCTCTGTCGAATTGTGTACATATGTTAATGATAAGATTTACACTGTTGTTCAAGAAATATGTGAAGAGGTTATCAGGGATAGTTTTATTTACATCAGTGGTTTAAAATCAGTAATTTTCATGCCTGATCTACATCATGATGCACCAATGATTTAAACCAGTTTGATTTAAATAAATCCAACCTTTTGCTCAAAGCACTATTCAGTCTCTTAGGATCTTGCCGTTGCACAGCAATATTAACATTAGTACCGCAATCATAAACAGTCTTTAAAAGCTGTTTAGAACAATGGCACTCAAAGGAGTACAATATGCTAAAGAGCCATTTCTGATGTATTCTTTTGCGAGATGGAAGCTGTTGCAGTGACACTCTTTCTTGTGCTGCTTGGTGATGTCAGATGTCAGCTCATGTGCAGGAAACACAATTGGCAGCACCTTCTTATGCCAGGATACAGAAATAGAAGCAAAATTTGGGGAAGAGGGAGTTACAGCTGCCATTTTTTCCATGTGCTTCTGGGAGCTGCAGTCCCCTAACCCAACAAATACATTTCTCAGTAGCACCTCTGGTGGGATAAGAAGTGGTACCTGCAGCTGAGGGTTAGAGAACTTAGCCCTGATAGAGGTTTTTCAGTATAAGGAAGAAAACAAACTGAAAAGATCTTTTAAAATGTATTTAGTTAATTGTTTCTCTTCTCTCCCCTCACTGTGCACATCTGGTGACAGGAAATGCCCCAAAAACAACAGAGGACGACGGCAGAAACAAAATCTAGGCCACTTTACTTCAGATACATCGTCCAGAATGGTTTAACATGATTTTTATATCTACACTGACCATGTGATGTACAATTTTGTTACCTTTTTTTTCTTTTAAAGAATGGAAATATTTATTTCAGAGGCCTTATTTTTGGACATTTTTTAGCGTAGCTCTGGTTTGTTTCATACTGAAAGCAGCCGACAGCTATGGACTGCTCTGGTAACTTCTCATTTAATGATTTGAAGAATACAGTAGTTTGTTTCCTGTACTTGTATCACATGGTTATGATAATGGACTTGTGCTTTACTCATGGAATGTAACATTTTGGAGAATGGAGACATTTCATCAATGATCGTAGAACAAACAAAATGGAGCCCTTCAAGTTTGCTAGCAAACAAGGCATGACCCAAGGGTAAAGATGTTTACAGCATACTTTTCTTACAAGGAATTAGAAGACACTGTGTTTAAATACCGTAGATATTTAAATGTTTTTGAAAGTTAGTCACTGATTTTTTTAGACACTGCCAATCGCATGAATTGTGAAGATGTGTATTGTGTGTAGTTGTGACATATTTATAATGGGTTGAACCCAGACTAATTTGGTTGCACTTAATTCACATTGAAATCAATGGAACCAGTTAATTTTAATTGAATGTCCACTGATTTCACTGGAAACTGAGTGCAACTAATTTACAGTGCAGTCTTGCACATGCCAACTCAGAGTAACCCCAACGGAGTTAAATGGGAATTTCTCCCAGGTAGGCATGTGAAAGATTGCAGAATCAGACTGGATTCAACCTGATACAGACTGGGTTGAAGCACCGCTGTCTTCATAAATATTTGACACTTTATTTTTAAATTGTAAAATAGTAATGATGATTATGATATACATTTCATAATTTTAAAGACTGCCCAGTAGAGCAGAGGGCATTTGTCTTGTAGAAACAGGTCTTGGAAGGCTTGTGTATTGTTTTTAAAAAAGAGTTATGTTTAATAATCCAACTCACATGATTGGGATTAAGCCTGTGTTGGTCACTATTTAAAGTTAAACTGCTTTCCTACTTATTACAGTTTTCTAATGAGGATACCTGTTTTCACATCAATGAATGCAATTGTATAGTCTTTGTGATTAAAATGCAAAAACAAAAAAATTAAATGCCATGAAAAAAAATTGTGCTCTTCTCTAGAGTATTTTCAAGAGATAAGGACATGTCTCATCCAAATAAAGTCTGCTGGTTGTAGTTATAATATTAATAGGATGTTAGTAGTTGTTTGGGAGATCCAGAGCTAAAATGTAACTAGGGTGTGTTCCAGCTGTTCAACATGTAGTTTTAGGCTTTCCAATTCTGCATGTAGGATTTTAAAATTTGTTCAATAAAAAGGCTTTCAATATTTGAACCGGAAAGGTATGTCAATACAGTGTTTTCCCATGATACATAATCTGTTATGAGTGTGTTTCTTCGTTACTTGAAATGAACAGCCTTCACATGTTGATGAACAGTAGCACTTTTTCATTTAAATTGTTCAAACTCTATTGAAAACATTGATCTCCCCCCTCCCCTGCCACCTGCACCGAAGTGCTTGATTAAAGTAACAGTGGATCTTAACAGCATGCCATTTCATTCTTCAGCTTAATTAGTAAGTTGCTTAGCTCTTGTTGCTGGATTAACTCAAGTAAGTTCATTAGTAGGAAAAAAATGTGTTTCTCTGAATGCATCTTTCTTCCTCAACATTGCTTCCTAATTTTAGAGATTTCATGTTGCAGAAAGCTCTTGAACAATCTGTGGCTATTTTATGGGTATAAATATTTGACAAGTGTCCCGGGGTGGAGTTTCAGACCCTGCTTTTGAACATTCCCCTGAAGCCAGCTGTCGAGCAACCTTCTTGCACTCATGCCAGAATTGTCCCGCTGGGTTTGAACGGCTGTCGTGAAGAGTTTATATTTCAGTTCCCTTAGACCGACCCGAAGACGGGCAGTATGGATCATCGTGCGACCACCTTAGAGACGGATAAGATCCACCAGAATCGCCTGTCAGGCATCACAGACGACGATGAGGAGCAAGATGCTGCCTTCACCATTGTCCGAGTCTTGGACAAGGTGGCTACCATTGTGGATACTGTTCAGGCCAGTCAGAAGCGTATCGAGGAGAGACACAGAGAAATGGAGGATGCCATCAAGACGATTCAGATTGATATCCTGAAGCTGGCCCAGGCTCATGGCAACACCAGCTACACAGTGAATAAGCTGCTGGAGAAAACCCGCAAAGTCAGTGCTCGGGTCAAAGACGTGAGGGCCCGGGTAGAGAAGCAGAGTGCCAACGTGCAGAAGGTCGAGGCCAAACAAGAGGAAATGCTGCGGAAGAACAAATTTCGTGTTGTCATTTACCAGGTAAATATCTCTTTTCTTTGCAACTTCTGCATTCTTCACATTTTCTGGCAACCCAGGTAGTTGTTGAAGTAGGCAGAGGGAGGGAAAACAACCTTCTCAGTATCAGAGTGTCTTCTGTTTTGTTTGTTCAAACATTGATTTTTGCCTCTGAACATGTTACAGCTTGAATCTACCAGTGGCAAAGCACTCAATCTATTATTAGTATTCGGAGGCTTCTGAGCCAACCAGCGTAAGATTAACTGCAGATCAGCAAGGACGGTCTGTTGCCTCTATGAAAGGCAATCGGAGGCAGGCGCTTGGGCTCCATGACAGAGTCTTCCAGCCGTGACTGTCATCCCTGTTTTTTTTCCCCCATAGATTAACTCGCTGCCTAACCTCAGGATTTCTCAGTACAAAACAATGCTTTCATTCATTGTATTTTCCTAAAGCTCATTTGTACTTTATATGCTAATTACTGCTCCTTGTTCTAAGTTACAACCTGTATTCTGTACACCCTTACCCCCAACTTTCCATGCTATGATTTGCCTGCAGGCCCTTCCTTTCATGAATCTACAGCTCTTGTGTAATACCAGAGGAATATATATATATCCTGGGAATCAGACAGACAGACAGACAGACAGACAGACAGACAGACAGACAGACAGACAGACAGACAGACAGATAGATAGATAGATACTGTATACAGTATATAGATATAGATATATTTCAGAAATGAAGTTTTGCAAAAAGAGCTGTACTTGTACTGGGGAAAAATGCAGTCATGGTGTTGAAACTAACTTATGTGTTATTAAGAATTTCCTCTTTTAACCTGAGGATGTATTTGTACATATAGATATTTAATGGGACAAGTGTGCCCAGATGACAGCTAGAGCAGAACAATTGTAAAATATTTCCTTCAACTGCAAATCTGGGTTTAAGAGCCCCTAAATCCTTCCAGATATTCAGGCTTCTTTACTCTCATTAAGGGCCGGGGGGGGGGATGGAGAATGCTTAACATCTAGCCGTCAGAAGATAGATTCCTTCGTATGAATCACAGCTGCTGAGGGAGAATTCTTGTTTTGGCAGGCGATTTGGGTTTAGATCCTGGAAATGCCATGACACATGAATAACTTCATTCATATGAATGGCTTCTTTGGGATATTCATATTGCTAAACACTTGTGAGCACTTGTTCTGCCTTATGTCATAGATAGCCAAGGAATGGATTCCTGAAAAGAATGGCAAAGTATTACACATTCTCTAAAGTTTTTCAACAGCAGGTACAAACCAGTCCAGTGGAAATACTTCCTGTCCCATTTGTTTTGATGGGAGCACGAAATGTTCCCCGAAATCACTGCCATTGACTGGATCATACTTGTGGTGCCACTGGCATTAGTGATACCCATTTCCATATAAACACATTTGGAATCAAGGGGCAAAAGCAAATATACTTCAACTCTTGATTCAGTGTAGCTGACAATTATGAAAATTAATTCAAGGTGAACCATTAATGTTCCTCAAATGATTGCACTCATTTGTCATCTATTTACAAATATGCTCATAGACTTTATCCCTGTAATAAATGGAGGTCCCTGGAAATATATTTGTGAGATATCAGTCAATAGTAACAATAGTAGTTATCATCATCATGCTTGCTCTCTGGATTAGTGTAGAGGTTGTCTAACTTAGTAGATGTACAGTCCCGGTCATGAATTGCAGGAGCTTCTTATCTCTACCACCTCAACTTGGTGCAAGCTAGTAATAGTAAACTGTGGACTTGCGAACCCAGTTAGATTGTCATATTTATTATTTCAGTTAGAAAAGATGCATTCTTACCTCCATCACCACAATTTCATCATTTACAACCATTTACAGTGGTGCCTCGACTTACGAATGTAATCCTTTCCGGAATGGTGTTCGTAGGTCAAAATGTTTGTACGTCGAAGCACCATTTTCCATTGAAATGTATGGGAACAGGATTAATTCGTTCCAGCATTTAAAGAAAAAGAAAAAAAGAAAAAGAAAAAGAAAGAAAGCACAGAGAAAGCCCCATGAGACGGTGCTGGGGCTTTAAAAAAAACAACCAAAACTAAACAGAGCAAGCCCTGAAAGCTGCAAAAACAACAACAACAACAACAACAACAACAACAACAACAACAACAACAACAACAACAACAACAACAACAACAACAACAACAAAGGAACTCCCCCGCCAAAAAAATAAACATTGAGCAATCCCCACACTGGGATTGCAAAAAAACAACAAAAAAAAACCACACACACACACACACAGAGCATGGAAACATAACCCCCCTCAGACGAAACCCACCATGCAAAACCCGCCCAGGAGTTTCTAAAAAGCAAAAAGCAGCACCTTACCAGGCAGACCAAAGCCTCCGCCAATGGCACTCACTCCCCGGCGGATGGCGGCCTGTGACAGGCCCCAGCTGGCAGCAGAGGTGGGGCCAGCCATGGAAGAGGGGGCCGTTCCTCATGAGTAGACCCGCTCCAGAGATGGGCAGGGAGCACACCGGCTTCCTGCACCTGGTGGCAAACTGGAGCCGCCCCGTTTCTTCATCCTCCTGCGCCGCCGCTGCGCGCCCCATCCATGAAGGAGTGCCTCCGACCCGCAAGCCACAGCCCAGCCCTTTGGCAGCCCTTACACATGAGTAGACCCATGACAGGGATGGGCCGAGAGTGCACTGGCTTACCGTGCCCCGTGGCGATCCGGAGCCGCCCCTGCCTCTCCTTCCTTCTCCTGCACCACAGGAGTAAAAAAGTTCCCTGACTCCCTGCTCTAACCATTGGGGCAAAAGAACTACAAAGAAGCAGATTTTTCATCTGCTACTTTGAAAGTAAATACTTTTATGTGGGCATAAGCACCATTTTGTTACAGAAATGGATAATGGGATATCTTAAGTGCTAGTCCCAACCAGAGCAGACCCACTATATCCATAGATTTACATAGGTGTTGATTTAACAAGTCCCATTCATTCAGTTGGCATACAGTGGTTCCTCGCTTAATGCTTGCCTCGCTTAATGAGGAAATCGCTTGACTATTAGGTTTTTGCGATTGCAAAAGCGATCGCAAAACTATGGTTTAAATGGGAAAAATCCGCTTCATGATGATCAGTTCCCTGCCTCGGGAACCGATTTTCGCATTACGACGATCTAAAAACAGCTGATCGTTGGGTTTCAAAATGGCCACCGGGTGTACAAAATGGCCCCCCACTGTTTTCTAGGACAGATTCCTCACTTTACAGGCAGCGAAAATGGCCGCCCCATGGAGGATCTTTGCTGGACGGTGAGTTTTCAGCCCATTGGAATGCATTGAAGGGTTTTCAGTGTGTTTCAGTGGGCTTTTTTATTTCGCTTAACGAGGATTTTGTTCTACAGTGATTTCGCTGGAACGGATTAGCCTCGTTAAGCGAGGCACCACTGTATTCTATTTGGGACTAACCATTGGACCATTGAAAGTGAACATAATTTAAAAAGCATTTGCAGCTATCTACATGACCGGACTGTATTTACATTTTTAAAAAATAAGAACAAAGTGCTGGAGCAAATGGCATGAGCCATGGCCAGTATATTCTTATCAGGAAAAGTGGGTTTATTTGCCACCAACACTGGACTGCACAATTTAAAATTAAGAATGTATATGAAATATAGGCAAACACTTCAAACAAATTAGAATGTTAAACTTTATCGTCCTTTGTGGTCCTGAAAGGACTGCCATTCTTCTGGAAGTGAAGGTTTGGCCAGTTGCCTGCCGTGGCCCAGGGGACACCCAAGCATACTAGCAATGCTTTCCACTCTTTGAGGAGGCTCCTTCTATGGTCATTGGTTGTACATTGGATACTAAAGGCAGAACAAGAGCTGTAATCCTGCACGGACTTTGACTGCATTCAACATCAAACTGGAGTTAATGAGCCTGCTTTTAAACGTGTTTTATTTTTAAGGTTCTTTTTAAAAGTCAGGGGGAAGTAACACAAAAGGTCAAGTGCTGTATTGTGTAGTCATGCTTTTATACCTGGCGGGTGGAGATTTATTATCCTGCGCATTAGAGTCTACTTTTGGAGAAAGTTCAGTGTGAGGAAGTGAAGCTGACGGATGAGGACTTCTCCCACAAATATTTAGAGTGGAATTTTGAAAAGATAATCTTCGCTGAAGATAAAGGGTGCAATTCGCTAGGAGTACTTTTTGCCCTATGCCAGATTCCCATTTGTTTCCATAGGGTGTGAGCAGAAGATGAGTCTCTGAGGCACGGCATCTTTGAAGAACAGAATGTTCTCTATAGAATAAATAACTTTTAGGCCAGGACTGTGGCCAGAGATCTGGGGTGGGCCCCTACATAGCTGAGTAGCTGAACACATGCGTTGCCTAGAATCTCCAATTAAGAGGAGCTCAAGTAGCAGGTTGGAGAGAGACCCGCCTGCCTGCAGCCCCAGAGGGCCGCTCTTGCCAGCTCTGAGAAGGGGCAGGGGTGGGACAAATGACCTGGCTCAGTCTAAGGCAGAATTCTTAATAAATACAACACCTTATTAGTCAGCACCTGAACACAGATGACCTAGTCTGTTTAGAGTAATTTAATTCATTGAGTAATGACAGTATTCTTTAATAAGTGCCAAGTGCTTGTCAGTCATCCCAGCAGTGTTGCAGTCGTCTTTGCCCAGAACAGCAGGAGGCTACAATTTTACTACTAACAGGGCAATTGCGTCAAACGCTGCCTGAATGTTTCCCCTTAGATCTGCATGGGGACTTGGAAACTTGACACTTGAAAAGGCTTGAGAGAATCTGGGGGGGAGTTAGCCCCTCCTCAACTTGGGCCGTGTGTATAGCAGAGATTATCTGTTCTAGAATATGCTAAAATGGAGGTGCACTGTGTTTTAGATTGCTAGTGAGTATTTTGTTTTCTTGCAAATTTTACAGAACTGTCCTGTGTCTGTTTACTTGAAACAGGATTTTTTCTCTCTCTCTTGACAGTGTGGCTTGAACCGTGTTAAGCACAGGCTGAATCTTACATTCCCCCCCCCCCAGTCTTGCTATAGAACAACCTGACCCTAATTTTTCTTCATATTTTATGCACTGGCTATAGTTTCATGTGTTGCGTTCATATTTTTTAAAAGTTAGGTATCTGTGTTTAAATGGGGACGTTGTGGTACTGCGGGTTAAACCGCAGAAGCCCCTGTGCTGCAAGGTCAGAAGACCAGCAGTCGTAAGATCGAATCCACATGATGGAGTGAGCTCCAGTCGCTTGTCCCAGCTCCTCGCCAACCTAGCAGTTCGAAAGCATGTAAAAATGTGAGTAGATAAATACATACCACCACAGTGGGAAGGTGACAGCGTTCCATGTCTAGTCGCACTGGCCATGTGACCGCAGAAACTGTCTATGGACAAACGCTGGCTCTATGGCTTGGAAATGGGGATGAGCACTGCGCCTCAGAGTTCGACACGACTAGACTAAATATCAAGGGGAACCTTTACCTTTACCTTTTTCTATGTTTAAAAGGAGACCTAAATAATAGAAAATATCAGTGTGGCAAAAAGGCTTTTCCGAATACTTGTCAGACAGACTAGCTAAAACAACCAGAATTAACTGTGTTTCTTGCTTGAGAGTATGTGAAGTAGTCAAGCCATGTGGCTGTGAGATGTTATAAAACAACCCTTACTGTATTTATTATACCCTTTGCTCTTTCACTTGATGAGAAAACAATAAAACCCACTGAGAACTCAAATGTCACACTTTCTCCTAACTGCAACCCATACCTCAATAGGTACTGCAGTTTGTGAATGAAACTGCATCCTTCTAAAGTCAGCATTCAGACTTCTTTGTTTCGCTCTTAGCTGACGCTGCACTCAATTTGCTTAATTTATTCAGCTGTTTTTCATGCCATCTGCAGGAGGCCAGGCCATGGAATGTAGAAAAGCCAACAGCTTGATACCCTGACTTTACACCAGTGGCTTTGAATGACATCAGCGTTAGGAAAACAAATAAACAGAGAAACAAACAAACAAATTCCAATAAAAAGCAACTTAAGAGAGCTAATAATGTGGGGGATGATAGATGAACCCTCTACCATCATTCTGGTACAGTGGTTCCCAACTTTGGGACCCCAGACGTTCTTGGATAAAAACTCCCAGGAGCTATTGCCACTAGCTGTGTTGGCCAGGATTTCTGGGAGTTGTAGTCCAAGAATAGCTGGGGACCCAATGTTGGGAACCACTGTAATAGCTGCCATCTGATCCTTTGGGGCATAGGCAGGGTGTTAACATTGAATCAATAAAATAGTGCTGCCATATGTGATATATTTAATTCACTTTATGTCTGTCTTGTTAAATGAAATAGTAGTAGAATTCTCGAAAGGTATGACGTGCCGTCAGAATGTCCCTATCAATTTCTAATCAGTTTAGCTTTCTAACAGTGTTGTTAATCTAGCAGTATCCACTCGTTGGACTTGGCCCAACAACATTCTCTTGCTTACCCGTAGTACATTTAATTAAAGAATAATTAATTAGTAATTTTAATAGTTTACCAAATAAATTGGTTCTTCAGTTTTAGTTATTAGCCATTCTTTTTTAATTTCTAACCTAACAAGAAAAGCTGCTAATGACATATACTCTTAACTATGGCTAATCTACACCAGTGGTTCTTAACCTTTGTTACTCGGATGCTTTTGAATTGCAACTCCCAGAAACCCCAGTCAGGACAGCTGGTGGTGAAGGCTTCTGGGAGTTGCAGTCCAAAACTCCTGAGTAACCCAAGGTTAAGAACCAGTGATCTACACCATTCAGTGGATTCCTTCCTCTTTTCATTTGATTCCTTATATTGTACATTAACATTCTGTTGATTACTTCTAGGGCTAATTGAGGTTTCTGTTTGAACAGGATTTAATGGTAACTTCAGGAGATGATCAAAGAAATAATGAGTTGAAGCCAAAAAGAAGAGGTTATAGATTTAGGTGGCAAGAAGGATGTGGTACTATGATCCACCTCTTATTGATAAATATTGATAAAATTGATAAACATATTCCTCTGGACATAATTAGCAACTACTGCAATAATTTCATCTTCCCAAGAATGATAGTTATATTACATTATTATTGCAATTTGATGATAGTTTCATACATTTTTGTGATATAACTGTAACTTTTTAGTAACTTCTGTAGTTACTAAACTCTCTCATTATAGTCCTCACTAAATGCCAAAGGATGGGTATCTCCTGGTTCTAGCGGAGGCTCATGCTGTTCTGTTGTGGGTGTTGAAATGGCAACAAGGTGGATAGGAGGATACTGTTTTATACAAGACCAGCTCAGCTGTTTATAGCATTCAGCTTTTTTTTTTCAAAAAGTAATTTAAATGAGGGTTTTAGTTTTAATTACACTTGCAAATGGAAAAGTAAAGAAACACTTATTTAAAGTAGTGTTTTTAATGGTAACTAACTATTTTGGAGTTCTTTAGGTTCTGAGGGTCTTGCAGCTGTGGTTTGCCTTCAACAAACTTTTCTTTCTTTTTTTCTGAAAAAGCTCTGTTATGCCCTCTAGTGGTGGTTTTCAAAATAATTTGTTGGGCTTGGAAGCGTAACGTGGTGAAACTGCCATTCATGCCACCTAGAAGTTAAAAACAAAATACTGTAAACATAAACCAAGTGTAAAATGTTTGATAAGGAGAATTGATGACTAGCGGTGCTAGGAACTATAGTTGGCCACTGGCCCCACTTTGCCCAACCTGGTCCATAGCAACCTCCAAGAAGAAACAAACTGAAGGCTATTTGGGGCAGGGGGCGGGAGAGAGCTGGCATGTAAAGCAACAAGTAATTCCAAGTACCTGAGGTATTGCATTTTATAGCTCTTAGTTATATTTCTTGATGGGTTTCCATGCTATTATCCCCACAGTAATAAATGTCAAGACTGTGCCCCCCCCTTTGTGGCAATCTTTTTGTTCTTCCCAATATTCACTGATGCTGAAATTCTGCCTCTTAATCTGCCCAGGTGCTGAAAACTTGAGGCCTCTACATATGGTACAGTGGTAATTCAGGGGAGAATTGTGGTTATCGAGTGCCCCACTCAGGGTGGGCACAGTAGTAGGCAGGACCTATCTGTTTAAGAGACAAACCTCTACAGCAACACTCTCTTTTATGATTGGATGACATTTTCTGAGAGCTCGAGAAAAACTTGCCTTGGAAAGGTTGGTCTGTTTTCTACAATGAGTCTGAAATTTAATGTTTCTGTTGACATGTTCACTTTATGTATGCAGTGGATTTTTATTCTCCTCTTACATCAAGTCATTTAGTAAAGTAAAACTTCCCCCCAATATCTGTATCTGTGTATTTCTACATTTCAAAAAACAAGAATATCCCTGAAGTGTTTGACTTTTGGTTTAAAGCAAAAAGTTATGGTGGCAGCTGTTGTCTCTACAAACAAATTCAGGCCAAAGATCAACACCCCTTCATTCAACACATGGGCACATTGATGCAACCTTTTTGCACCTTAACTTCCACCCCAGATAAAAAAGCGAAGCTTGCTGCTTATACACCGCCCAATAGTGCTTCAAGTTAATTATGCAGGTTACACATTGCCTCCCCAGCAAGCTGGGTACTCATTTTACCAACCTCAGAAGGATAGAAGGCTGAGTCAACCTTGAGCCGGCTACCTGGGATTGAACCCTGGGTCGTGAGCACAGTTTTGGCTGCCGTACAGCAGTTTAACCACTGCGCCACAAGGCTTTCTTATGAGAGTTACATAAAAGTTGCTGAGGAAGCCATCAGCCATCAAAGAGGCTATGTGGAAGCACCATTGTTCTTACTTTTATCCTTATTTCTCCTACCTCCACAAACACAACAAGCCCCTTTTTGAAAGTTGTGGTAAACAAATTAAATATTGTGTTTTCAATTGCAGGAGGATGTTCCATGTCCATCTTCTCTATCAGTTGTCAAAGACCGGACACGAGGGGAAAACCTAGATGTCTTCAGTCCACCTGATGATCTCTCTTCTGACGAGGAGTATTACATAGAAGAAAGCAGAGCAGCACGGTTTAAGAAATCAGGCATAAGGCGCATCAACAATATTAAAAAGGCATTTTCAAGAGAGAATCTTCAGAAAACAAGGCAAAATTTTGGCAAGAAGGTGGACAGACTTCGAACTAGAATAGTAACACCAGAGAGGAGGGAACGAATAAGACAATCAGGAGAGAGGTTGAGGCAAACAGGGATAAGGTTCAAGAAAAATATATCCAATGCAGCACCAACAAAGGAGACCTTCAAGAGGCATAAGAAAACTACAAAGCAAGAAGTGGCCGAAGGTCCAGAAGAGGTCCAAGAGTCTGGCGTTGATACAACTGTAGAAAGTGGGGATGCTGAACCAGTCAGCGAAGAAATTTCCTATACTGAGGTGATAACCAAAGTGAAGAAAGACAAAGGTGGTGGGTCAAAAGGCCCGTCTCAGGCAGAGAAGAAGATAGTGATAACTCCTGAAAATATTGTGCTCAAACCAGAGGTCAAAGTGATGGTACCTGAAAAGATTGTCCTCAAACCTGAGGCAAAAGAAGAGGAGAATGTTCTTCTGGTAGATCTAAAGCAATCAGTTTAAATTTCAGAACTTTCTTTGCTTTGGCGGTGTCACTGTGGCAGGGAAGGAGCAATCCTATTAATTTGGCTAGAGGTTGGAGCAGTGGTTTTGAAATGTTCCTCAGATAACCGTTTCCATGCTGACTTGTCTGCTGAGGAGAACTGAAACCTACGTTGTGTGTTGCAGAGGATCCTGGGACATGTACTAGGGGAAGAACTCTATTCCTTTGAGGTGGGGTGGGTGTGCACATCTGGGCTGTTGCACCGGACACAATAGAAGAGCATGTTCTGAGACAGCTTCCTCCTACTTTGGTTTCCCCAGATGTTGGATGGCAATTCCTATCATCTCCAACTAGCCCATCCATGTTGGTTTGGAATGATGGGAGTTGTAGTTCAACAACATGTGGAAGATTTGAGAAGGACATGCCCAACGCACCCCAGTGTTGTTCAGGGAAGGTCAGTAACAGCAGACATACTGTCCTTCAGGAAGTTTGCCTAACATTATCCATCCCAGGAGCACAGTTTCAAAACTGCTGATTTAAAGATGTGTGCTGATTAATCCACAGGAATTTATATATATGCTGTATACTCACAGTCCATTTTAGCCTTCCAGTAACTTTGCATATATATGTTTAAGTTTATACTCTGCTCATTGACATGCTTTGGGGCATTCTTTCACCATCTGACATCACTCCAGGAGAAATAAGGGAGTGATCTCCTGAGAGACCTATGCGTAAATGCCATTCATCATCACAGGTAAAAAGGAGGTAGAAGCTCCCTCTGTTTCAGTGAAATAAATTCCCTCAGCAGACTTTCTTCTATCTGTATTTTATGCACCGTGACAGCCACACAGAGTAAATCTCATTAAATGACTCATTAGATATCTCAGGATTCTTCTACTAGGGGTGAAGGGAGAAATAAATCCATCAACAGATAGCGTGTTTATCTCAAAGAATATACTTAACTCTTTCTTCCCTCTCTCCAAATCCCACGAGAAAGGGGATAGGTCACTGGATGAGATAGGGGAGTTTGCTGCCTGTGGTTGTTTCTGTACCCACCCCCCAGTAATGGGAAGATAACTAGTACCACACCAAGCAATACAATTAATGATTAATAATTATTCACCAAGGTATCTACAGTTAATAATGTTGTGGGGGGAGGGGAGGATTTGAAACAAGCGAGGCAACAAACTATCAACTACTTTTTGCAACTGTCATAGTCAGAAGGATGATTCTGGACTAGATGGATCATGAATCTGGTCCAACCTGGCTTCAGAGGCTTTGCTGGCTGTGATCTTTTTCAGACTGAAGCTCCTGGAAGACACCAGGAAGCAGCGCCAATGGGAGTTTGTAGTTCGGGGGGAAAATGGATTTATTCTACTTGTCCAGTCTCTTTTTTTTTCATGCGATCAGCAGGTGGAAAATGTAAGAATCAGGGGAGGGATATTGAGATGATTCAAGAAAAGTAATATTGGACTTGGATGTAAAATGGACAAATCTAAGCATGCCAGACTTTTCCATGATTGTCACATGGGATTGTGCTTCCTGCTGTTCCTCACTGTTTCCTTTGTCAACATGTATGAAGTGTGTTGCCAATTTTCTTATATTAAAATTTGCATTCTCTAATCCTGTGGACACAAATGTCACAGCTCCCGAAACATTGTTGATTGCTGAGTTGGGCAGTATGTATGAATAGGATGTTGATTACTGTGGCTTTTGAGTCAGAAACCATCCCTTAAATGCACCCCCTTGATTTTTTTTCCTGTCCTGCAATTCCATCACTGACTGTATTCAAGGCTTTGTGTTCTAAAAATAAATAAATAAACCAAGATTTTGCATCAAGAATTATGCGCATCAAGTATTCTGTGACCTGTATACATTCTGCAGATAAACACACAAATATGTAACTGATTTTTATACATATTCTTGACTAGAAGGTCTAAAATTTTAAGCACAACACATTAATGCTTGGCTATTGGCCTCAAGGAACAGTGGTCTGAGGGGAGTAATGCTACACTGTTTGGTGTTGCAACAATGTCAAAGTGGATTAATGTTTCCGAATTGGGACGGGTGACTTAATTGCAGTGGAAGGCACAAGAGACAGACTGTATAAGGGAGGGAGCTGCTTCAAATGTTCTGTAAGTGCGTTGTCTACAGTAAAGACAAAAATGGCATCAAATGGAAATAATATATTGCTATAGTAAATAGATCTTGCTGATGGCTTACTTTGCCATTTATGATGACATGTTAATTTTGTGGCCAGCTTAGATTTCATTAATAAACTCGGGCAGTATCTAGTATATGATCTTTTTAATCCAGTGCTTTATTCTCCATGATTTATTGTTTATCTTTGACTTGACATACAAGGACTAATTAAAACAAACAGAATTAAACCCTGGATATGTATATGCATATTCAGAATCAGGGAAGACGATATTGTGTGTTCGGCCTGATATGATCACTGAGATGGAGTTCAATGCTGCATAGTTTTCTAACTTTAAGTTTTAAAATCTTACCACCATGTATGATTTAACCTTAGAATTATTGTGTGTATTCAGTAGCATATTTTAAAATTACCTCATATGGACAGACATATACACAAAGATGTTTTATAGCAATAGGTGGGTCCTGAGTATGGACATAGATATCCCAATTAGCAATTATGGAAATGCATTTATCAGCAGGCACATGTATGTGTGCGTGCATGCACACACAAAGCAACAGAGAGCACAGTGCTGTTTCCATACACTGGTTATCCATATTGGAATTAAACAACCAAAAGACATTGGATTGTTTTCCGGTCCACCTTCACACCCTCTTCTGCATCTTTTTCTGTGGTTGTGACACAGAGAGGAAAAAACTGAAAAGATGAGAAAGAGAGTTGGTGTTGCACGTTGGGCTGCTAATTGTTAGATACCATCATCTAAGAAAGAGAGGGATGGCTTCATAGCATTGCTGTGGCCCACAAGGGAGAAATCTCCATCCTCTCCAAATTTCCTTTGAGTTCCAGCAAATTTAAACATGACCACCCAGATGATTTTTGCGGGTTTCGAAAGAATTGAGATAGAGCCATAGGGAACCCATCCACACACCAGCTGACACCCATCACATTACCGCCTCCCTCATAAAATCTCTGGATATAGAAGTGTGTGTGTGCATGTGCACACGCACGCACGCACGCACGCACGCACATGCTTTGTGTTCTAAAACTAAATAAATAAACCAAGATTTTGCATCAAGAATTCTGCGCATCAAGTGTTCTGTGACCTGTATACATTCTGCAGATAAACACACAAACTGATTTTTATACATATTCTTGACTAGAAGGTCTAAAATTTTAAGCACAACACATTAATGCTTGGCTATTGGCCTCAAGGAACAGTGGTCTGAGGGGAGTAATGCTACACTGTTTGGTGTTGCAACAATGTCAAAGTGGATTAATGTTTCCGAATTGGGACGGGTGACTTAATTGCAGTGGAAGGCACAAGAGACAGACTGTATAAGGGAGGGAGCTGCTTCAAATGTTCTGTAAGTGCGTTGTCTACAGTAAAGACAAAAATGGCATCAAATGGAAATAATATATTGCTATAGTAAATAGATCTTGCTGATGGCTTACTTTGCCATTTATGATGACATGTTAATTTTGTGGCCAGCTTAGATTTCATTAATAAACTCGGGCAGTATCTAGTATATGATCTTTTTAATCCAGTGCTTTATTCTCCATGATTTATTGTTTATCTTTGACTTGACATACAAGGACTAATTAAAACAAACAGAATTAAACCCTGGATATGTATATACATATTCAGAATCAGGGAAGACGATATTGTGTGTTCGGCCTGATATGATCACTGAGATGGAGTTCAATGCTGCATAGTTTTCTAACTTTAAGTTTTAAAATCTTACCACCATGTATGATTTAACCTTAGAATTATTGTGTGTATTCAGTAGCATATTTTAAAATTACCTCATATGGACAGACATATACACAAAGATGTTTTATAGCAATAGGTGGGTCCTGAGTATGGACATAGATATCCCAATTAGCAATTATGGAAATGCATTTATCAGCAGGCACATGTATGTGTGCGTGCATGCACACACAGAGCAACAGAGAGCACAGTGGTTATCCATATTGGAATTAGACAACCAAAAGACATTGGATTGTTTTCCAATCCACCTTCACATCCTATTGTGCATCTTTTTCTGTGGTTGTGACAGAGAGAGGGAAAAACTCACCAGATGAGAAAGAGAGTTGGTGTTGCATGTTGGGCTGCTAATTGTTAGATACTATCATCTAAGAAAGAGAGGAATGGCTTCATAGCATTGCTGTGGCCCACAAGGGAGAAATCTCCATCCTCTCCAAATTTCCTTTGAGTTTCAGCAAATTTAAACATGACCACCCAGATGATTTTTGCGGGTTTCGAAAGAATTGAGACAGAGCCATAGGGAACCCATCCACACACCAGCTGACACCCATCACATTACCGCCTCCCTCATAAAATCTCTGGATATAGAAGTGTGTTCGTGCACGTGCACACACACACACACACACGCCATGAAGAGGGATATATATATAACTGGCATTAACTGATCAAATATATCCTTCCATCAGAGCAGGAAGACTGCCAAAATGCTCTGATGGAAGGACATATTTGATCAGTTAATGCCAGTTTTGAAGACAGATTGCGACTAGAGCTACGAAAGTGGTATCAAGGAGAAAAAAAACACACAAAAAGTTATGTTTGTACATAGAATTCCTTCTCATCCCGCTGGCCACCACCTGGGCAGTGAAGAGTGCAAGGACACCTTCTTTAGGATGAATCACAGCTACACAGGTCCTGCAACGAGCACAGTTAAGACAGGTGAGGAAGTCGCTTGCTTTTTAGATGGAACGTTTGTTTGGGAAGTCCTTCACAACAGGCTTTTCCATTTACACTTAGCTGTAACACATCTAGGTACAGCGGCTTAGCAATTGCCAGGAACTATCTTAGCACACTTCCTGCCTGAAGGGATGGAATGCCTGGCAGCAAACCGGCTGCAAATGGTAAGCAAGCTACTGAACTAACTGGGCAGAAGCTTTTATTAGCACTGTACTGGAGTTTTTAAATAAGTATTTTTGATGCTTCTTTTGGGGTCTTTTAAAATAAAGTTTGCTTGCTGCTAGAATCTCAGGAACAATTCCTCTAGCTAGCTGAACCAAAACATTCTTTTCCGGTGATGACCTAATAATTGTTATTTTTCAGTTCAAGAGTTGCAGTGTTCTGCTGCTTAATTAAAACTGTAGACCATCAAGTTAATTCTGAGTTATGGTGATCCTTTCCAGGATTTCCTAGGTGGAGAATACAGAGAAGTGGTTCTTCTGGGGGTCCTCTGGGACTGTGTAGCTTGCCCAAGGCCACACAGGCAGGCTTTTCTCCCAGGAAGCATAATGGGAAATTTAACTCCCAACTTCTGGCTCTGCAGACAGATACCTAAACCACTGAGCTATCCAGTTTTGTTCCTACCACTTACTGAGTTCTAATATCACCGCAATTACGGGCATGTCTACTCAGAAGTGAGTCCCATTTGGTTCAAAGAGACCTGCATCCAGGTAAGAAGGTGTTGAATTATAGCTTAACATCCCAGAAACATATCTGATTGCATGCATATCAAGAGTTCATGGGAGTGAAAAAAATGCAGGACATAGTGTTAATTACAGTATATAAATTTAAAGCTGTTGACAATTTCAAATTGTTTTCTGTATTTTCTTTCAAGCAAAACCTGAATATCTCAGAGCTGTGATGGTTACCTTCAAAGTGTGTATGCAGAGCATAGAGCAATTCCCCAAAGCTGAACGTATGGATAAATATGCTTTCCAGAGAGAGTACGGAGCTTTGTTACCACAGATTCTTTGTGTGTAGCAGCATCAGACTAAATTATGCAAAATAAAACCACATGCAGATCCTTTGAATCGATATAATGTAGAAGAAAGTCAGAGATTCCAGCTTTTATTTTTTTAAAGCACACAGAAGGATTTCTGCATGAACTTATGTAAACAGAGGACATACATGCAGCCTTCATGTAACTTCAGTAGCCTCTTTGCAATTTTGTTACACTTCCAGTCTCCGCAATTACAGTGACTAGTCTTCCCAAATGTTTCTATTAAACAGACCAAAATACATTTCAAAATTGCAAAGGTTTCAAGGAGAGGTCAGGCTCCGGCAG